GTCTGCGCACCTCGTGAGCTAGCATCGTCGTCGTCGTCATCGTCATCGTTTGTGTTTACATTATGCTGACATTTTGTTGCAAACATACAATAAAAAACAGTAATGATTATGAATTGCATTTTAATAGATTCTGTAATTTGATAGACGCTAACTTCACTTTAGTTGAAAATTGGCAAATTATAGCAACTTTTAAAATATAACATTTAGAGCCTGTCCACCCCTGGCTGATAGAGGTTCAGATAGCTTAAAAAAGACGTCACTGTTATATAAGGGAACAAAATCCGATATTACCATCACATATTTTACATGTTTGATTGTTATCAGACAATTTACAATTCGGTGGGACAGGCCCTTAGAAATACCGATTAATTTACATCTCAGAATCATTTTATTCATTGAAATTTATTAAATATATTTAGTATAGGATTATACTCATAATATAATAGTAGCATGACAATGTTAGTGTTTGATGTATTTTCTTTGCTTCAAAAACATCAAATACATGAGCAAATTTGCCAGTAGCTGTCCTTATCAGACATTGTAATGTTAGTGTTTTACTATATTTTTCAATTAATAACATTTATTGCCCAGTTTAATATTTGACAAAACAATTAAAATATGTAGCATATATCCCTTTATTTCTTTTTAATACAGTAATACCCCACTTAGCGCGACCTGTTACGCGCGGTTTCACTTTAACGCGAATTTCAACTCGCTCAAATGCCGCACATTATACGAAAGAGTGCGTATAAACATGATGTAGTCGTTAACTTCTCTATGGTCACGGGATCGTGTCTTCACCGTGTGTCAAACAATTAAAAACAGTTTTATTATGAACATATTTCAAAGAATGATAACAAAACGCTACCCAAACGACTGTAGATGTATTTTTCCATAACAAAAATTAGAGTATGTATTGCATAAAGTGTACTTTTAAAATGATTGATTAAAATTATTTGTATTAAATTTTGACTATGTTTAAATATAAACCTCGATTTACGCGAATTTCAGTTACGCGATTTTTTTCGTATCGTATCCCTCGCGTAAAGCGGGGTATTACTGTATTACCTTTGTTTAAGATTCTTATTTAATAAATGTAAATACTTGTATTGAATATCTCTCAATTCCTTATTAATGTTAGAAATTTCTTTGCACAATAATTAAACTTAATAATTAGGATTGTAAACTGTTTTTATATTAGTACTTTTCTTACCGAAAATCTACTCTTATTATGAGAGTAAGGTTTTCGCCACAAATTTTACCCGCCTTCGCAATATACATGGATCTTCGGTTACCTTCGAGACTGCACATTCTACGGGAAATCTGTCTACGGTTTGCGTAGTATAATTAGTACATTAAAAAGTCAGAGCAATGTTGCTATAATTCTATGGCTTAGTTGTTAAGGGATAGTAATCTCTAATGCATTTATCGTCGGTTATTTTGCAATTTATTTCTGACTAGAGATTTAATTGTCCCTGTCTATCACCTTAGGATAGAATGTCGTAAGTGTATGTCATGTAGAATTCGATAATAATGGCTGTGTATTCGCTTTGTATAGATTCTCAAAAAAAAAAAAATTTGTTGTTTAATTATGGCAAATATTAAACTTACTAGTTACAACTATTTTATAATGTTACTTTCAGATAATAAATGTAAACCTTTTCTATGATAAAATTGTAATATTCTATTTAGATACGAGGATCTTCTACTCGAAAAATGGGAATATTGTGATGGACTTCTAAATTTATTACTATGAATTATCGATGTTTTAGTGAAGTATAAATAAAAATTAGAAATATATGTGTTAGCTATAATCTATAAGTTTATACATATGTAATACCTGAAACGTTAAATAACATAAAAAAAACAATAAGACTCCATTTTTTTTTCTAAATGGCAACAATTTACATATCAATGCCTGACAAATATTATACTTTTGTACGGGCAAATAAAAAAACGCGAAATTACAAATAATTAAAATGTAAGCTTGAACAACATTTTTAATCTTTGGTTTTTTATAGATAACATTCGAACATTCCTGCCAGTATGAAAAAAGACATTGTTTACAAAGAACGGAACATTGAATTCTAAAAAGTACTTCTTGGTGTTTAAATGAATTTTGATGTTGCATTTCAAACATTTTTCATAAAAAATATGACTAAACTTAGTTTTAATATTAAATGTTTTCTAAATCTATATAACAATGTTACATATTTGTTAATGTATCGATTGGTGTCGTAATAAAATAATGTTAAAAATCTAAAAGCGTTTCATTAAAATTACCTAACAATACACAGAAAGTATTAACTTATAAAGTTAAAATTTAATTTTGAGCTGGTAACTTGGGTTTCTTCAAAGCTATCGGCAACTTGACGAAGATCAGGAATATCAGCTCGAGCGCGCTGAACAGCCCCACGCCCAGGAACATGTTGAACACGCCGCCGAGCGACGCTGAGTACAACATACAAACTTAAGTAAACATGACTGACAAATTATAACACGGCTAAACTCACCTGATAACATTCGGTGTAGGCACCGACAGTTAATTAGTAGTAAGTTATAATTTACATAGTATAATGTCTCACAAAAGTTTTAATAACTTAATGATGACAAACTTATATTATTGGACTATTGTATATCACAGATAATACAATATCTACATACTTTTTTTAACATAAATAAACCAGCGCTTGACCACGACTCACAACTAACTTAAGTGAAGACACGGCCAAAGGATAGAGCGTGCTAGCTCAATAAGTGCCGTTTCACCCTGCTCTTGAAGGCACCCAAGCTATTACCACCCATACTATTTTTCGCCTGTGAAACCGTCCGATTAAAAAAAAAAACAAAAGTGAGTAGTCTATGTCTTCTTCCTGACTATCCTTCACGTTTATGCCTTTCATCGAGATCTGTTCAGCCGTACAGGCTACAAACTCTAACAAACATCCATCCATCCAATTAAACTTTCGCATTTATAATAGTAAAATTATAGATATGAATGTATACATAATAAGGTGATCCAAGTCTCTGTGGGGTTGACGATGAACTTCTTGGAGTCTCTGATCTTGACGTGTAGAGTCAGGACCACAGCCAGGCTGGCGTTTAATCCTGCACTATAAGACAAAGCTTCGAATAAGATATTTTACAGGGTAACCAGCTTGCATCTTATATTGACTATTTTATAGTTACTAGCTAAAGATTTAAAGTCATGGAATACATAGTCTGAAGAATGGATTTAGACATTACTAGCTTTCGCCCGCAACTCCGTCCGCGTGTTACTAAAAAAAGTGAGTACCCTATGTGTTCTTTCAAACTATCTCCTACGTATATACCAAATTTTATCGAAATCCGTTAAGCCGTTTAGGCTCTAACATTCATCCATCCATCTAACCTTTCGCATTTATAATGTTAGTATGATTTTAATTAAAAAAAAACTAACTAGACGGTGTCGAAAGCGTGTTCAAAGGCATTCATAGGACTGAATTCTAAGGACAAGTCCGTGGAAACTTTTCTACAGGACGGCAGGCAGTTACACGTTAGATTATCTGAAAAATAAATTCAATGTTTACAAGGTTCTAGTTTATTTTTACTGACGAGGTTTTGTTTTTGGTATAACGCCCCCTAAAATAAAAATCCATGTTAAGAGTCCATTTCTTGATCATAATTGTCACAAATAGTTTTGGAGGAAAAATGCTAGATCGGCTCATGAAATCTACCATTCTTGTAAGTCCGCAAGCAGTTGAGGTTCGTGATGGAGCATGTGGGCAAGTCGGTCGGTTCGTTGTCTTCGTTGCTTTGCAGCGGGTCGGCGCACCCGCACACCTTCTCGATACATTTTATCTGAGACAACAGAAGCAAAGTGGAAATACCTTCGAAACACAGACGGCATTACATGTGCAGTAAGTTCAGTTAGCGTGTTGTGCACTAACCATGCAGTTACTCCTGGTGTAGCGCTCCCTGTAGACGCAGCGGTTGTTGACGAGCTTGTCGGCGTCGCTGTCCACTATGGATGTGGATGTCAGCGAGCCCATGTAGTTGTAGCCCGGAGTCAAAGGCACTGGCTGCACCCACTCCTCGCCGGGGTATTTTGTGAAAAACTGACAAAAAAAAGTATTTTTAACACAAATATGACGAATGCAGTTACAAAACGATAGGTCATCAAACCTCGCAACCGTAGACTTGACTGTGGTCAGAGAATTGCATTCCGGCGTGTAGCCGCCGCGACGTCGTGTAGCGCGTCATCATAATCGAAGATAGTTGGATTCTGTGGAAAATAAGTAATTGAATGTGAAATACAGTTTTCTTTACGCATTCAAATTATGTTGTATTACGAACTCGTTGGGGCGCATGACACAGCAGAAACCCCACTGCGTCAATTCCTGCTGAAAGATATCGCCGCAGGGCAGCGTCATGGTCAGCCAGCGGCAATTCCGAATGACGTGAGCGCAGGGCGGCATCAGACGCGATAGTGCCGCCATCAGCGTCAGGTTGTTGATGCTCAACGCGCGCTCTAGTAGCTCCGTCTGGCTGTCGGCGAGGGGCTTCCTGCGCAGCACGAGTGACAAGATCGCTGGTAGACGCACTCGAGTCTCGTTGTCAGTAACTCTGATGTAATAAAATAGGCTTATATATCTTTTCATATTGCCTCCAGTCCATAATCATTCCGATACGTACAAATTCTGTTGGAACAAGTGGGCAATGTTGCCCGCGGCAGGGCAGAAGGCTATGTTGGACAGACGCAGCACCTGAGGCTCGGCGAGCAGGTCGCGCAACGTGATTAGCGCGGGCACCTGCGTAAAGCGGGCCCACAGCACGGCGCACAGCACGCCCGCGCAGCTTGCGCTCGCGCAGCAACATAACAGCCATCCGAGTCTGCGGGATATTAAAAAAAGAAACTGACAAAAAAAACACTCGAGTAAAGGGCATTTCTCGGGGAAAGAGAAAGGACCTTTATTTGCTGTCACTATTTAGCCTAATACACATTGCAACTGTTAGTTTTAAATCTAAGAAATAAAAACTATACAAACCGATCTGAAAAGAATTCAGAAGTTAAATATTTAAAGCCGTGTAGGGTCGTCGTTCTGTAGAATTGGCGTACCGTCGCCACCCAAGGCTTTGAAGGCTTTGTCATGACCGGGACTGCACAAGCGACTTGCTTCGTCTGTAGTGTGTGTGAAACTCAAAAATGGTGTAAAGTTTGGCAATGTTCTATGATCTAGATAGTGAGAGCTATTAACATCAGCCGCAACATGTGCTTGCCATCGGGTCACCTGTAATTAGCGCGCTGTCAACTCTTAATGACCGCTGACCTTTGGTACTAACCGCCGACAAAGGTGTAATTAAGTATAACTGCTACAAAAAAGCTACAATTTCAGGTAATATTAGTTCTCAAATGTGAAGCTTTAACAACTTCTGAATCTGAAATTCAGAACTTTAAGATATAACATTTGGATAATTTATTGTTTATATAATGTGGCTTTATTATCACGTCGTGCACACTGAAACATGAACAATTTTGAACAACATATGCTAGGTAAAGTAATAAAGCCAAGGTGATATCGACAGGTTGTTCAAAAGAGACATTTCAATGCTATAGCTGGTGAAATGTCCATCGATGAGTATCTGCTAATGATGACATTGTGTTAGCAATTTGAAATCGCTATCAGATCTATTGTCAACACGAGGAGGGTTGGCGAGTTGACCTATACCTGCTGACAATTAGTGTTCTATTAAAGTATAATTGTATATCATTTAACCTTTTGATGCCTTGATTAAATGTTCAAGATGGTGATAAATAAGTGATAAAGTCGAAGTAGAAGTATAAAGATCTTTGTTAAGTTTTTTGTGGCCATCGAGAAGATTTTTCAAAATGCATATATACTTGACTTTAAACCAAATCTTACCGACATCTGCGTTAATAGAACATTTAAATTCTGTGGACAGCAACAGCAGCGGTGATAGGTTGATCTTCTGAACTTCTGTCAACGTCAGTCGGTGGCAAGTGGCAAGTGTCAAACAATCTGCTGTCATTTTAAAATCAAAACGTGCAAAGTTATTTATTGTTATTGTAATATATCTTTCATTATCATATTTAATAAAACTAGTTAGCTTATTACTAAGTCAGGGTTTCATAGTTTTCGATATTTATAAGATTTAACGTATTAAAATAATGTCTTCCTGGAAAAAAGCCGCGAAGGCTAACCAAAAAACCCATAAGGAACGACATCAACCTGAATCAAGAAAACATTTAGGTTTGTTGGAAAAGAAGAAAGATTACAAAAAGCGAGCTGAAGATTACCATGAGAAGGGCGAAACTCTTAAACTATTACGCAAGCGTACATTGGACAAAAATCCCGATGAATTTTACTTTCATATGGTTAACTCTAGAGTTAAGGATGGGGTGAGTTGTAGCATAGGAAAATACTTCACTCACGACGACTTAGTAATCAATTTAAATATTCTATTAAATTTAAAATCTTTGCTATAATTTAAAAGTTTCTTATCATGTTTACATTGTTGATATCCAGGAGCATCATGAGCTGGAGAAAGAGGAAGAGCACAGCGTGGAGCAGATCAAACTCATGCAGACGCAGGACATCAAGTACATCAACATGAAGCGCACCATGGAGAGCCGACAGATTGAGAAGCTGCAGGTGGATAGTATATTTTAACTAGTGTTCATCCATTGGTTTAATTTGACCATAACTTTTGCAATTAAAGGATTTTATGGTCTTTTCATTTCATTATAAATAGCTTTAGGTTTTTTTGTACTCTTTAATTTTTATCTGTAAAATTTCCAGTCTCACTTGCACATGACAGATGTAGTGGATGCAACACCCAACACTCATATATTCTTTGTGGATGAAGGGGAAGAAAAGAACTTTGATTTAGCAAAGAGGCTGGACACACATCCCTCTCTGATAAACAGAAAGTCCAACCGGCCCAGATTGTCGGATTTGAACAAGATAAAATTACCCACAGTTGATGAACAGGTGAGATGGAATTTGTATGTCTATATCTACGTAGAGTTTAAAACTTAGTAAGTAGCCTATGTGTTCTTCCAGACTATATTGTAAATTTGAGAAAAATTAATTAGAGCCTATTAAGCCGTTTTTGAGATATGTTGTATATCTGTACATCCAAACTTTTTTTGTTAGAAAGGAATAAGGTAAAAGCATGAGCCTCTACGCAATGTTGCATAATAGTGGGTTTTTTATAGGGATTTAGATTGTTTTGATTATTCTATGTATATTCATTTACAAGGCACTAAATTTGACTTTAACATGTGTGTTCTAAGGAAAGTAGTAAAAGAACTTTCTATATATAGGTTGTAAGAGAAGCTACAAAAACGAAACTAAAGACATACAAAGAGCTGTCAAAGAGAATAGAGCGGGAAAAGCAGCTAACAGTTGTACAACAGAAGATGGAACTCAAGAGGCACCTCCATGATGCTAAGATCATGAAGCCCAAAAGAATACGACAGGGGACCAAAGTCTCCGCACCCGTTTACAAGTTTCAATATATGAGGAAAAAATAAAATATTCAATATTGTTTGTATGTTTTATTTCGTAATAAATAATACCGTTTTTTTTGTTAGTCATCAGCTTAAAATAGAATTTGTTCAATTATTCTTATTAATGTAATATATAAATCTTTAATATCCAGAGTGAAATTTATTATATTTAATTTATGGTTTTGAAAATAAACTATTTTATTACAAGTAAGATATGAAAGTTGAGTTAATCAGAAACAAAGTCATATTATTTGTAAAACTTTCTTAAAATTAAATCAAATTTCACCCCGGACAAGATTTTGGGAACTACAATGATCACAATTGCTTTATAAAAGTATAAAATTATTATGAATCTTAAAATTTATTGCATAATATTAGTGTCATTAACATAACTTCGATAAAATATTCGGTAACTTTAGAAATCTCACTCACTCATATTTTACATAAATGCATCCATCTCTTTCGTTCAAATTTTAATTCTATAATCTCAAATGTGGTCAGCGATTTACCAATTTCGTTCGTTATAAAAAATTAACACAACAAACTTATTTGTATAAAAATTTGTAATTTCAGTCATTTCACCAATAATAAGTCTCAATTTCTATATCTTAGTCTAATAATAAAATCACCAATAAAATTAAGTACAATATAATAAAAACTAGGACGGTAACTTAAAAAATAACTTAAAGTATGTTGATTGTCTTTGGTTTGAGTGGTTTGTCCGGCGTGTGTTACCAGAGCACGCACTTGTGGGGAGGGTTCATGGGGGAGCCGCGCGGGCAGCGCCACGCCTCCGCGAACTCTTCCGAGTTGCTGAGGGTGCCG